GTGAAACAAATGGAATGTGAAACTGTACATTAAAGTGTAGAATCAATAGTAATAGAATAGCTAGCATTGATTGTGGTTTTTCCGTGCCAGGCACTGTGCGAGAGCTCTACGTAGACTTTAGTTCTCAAAACAACCTTGCTGAGGAGATACGATTATTAAACCCACTTTACCACAGTGGCACTGAGGCACAGAGTAATGAGTGACAGAGCCACTGTCCCAAGGTTGACAGAGCCATGATCCTGTGGTTGGCAGAGCCATGATCCCGTGGTTGACAGAGTTATGATTCCCATGGTTGGCAGAGCCATGATCCCGTCCGTGGTTGACAGAGCCATGATCCCATGGTTGACAGAGCCATGATCCCACTGCAGCCAGTGTGATCCAGCATCTGTTCTCGTCACCATTTGTACTCCCTGCCAATATGCAAAGCATCGGTGTACAAAAACTAGACACAGGTGAGGGACAAACGACAGCTGTCGTGTTAGGGCTACTGGACACCTTCTATCTGTGGGCAGTGGTCTTTAATGTGGTTGTATTTGTAGCTTTGCGGGAAGGAAACAGTGGGAGAGTTGCGGATAGGTTTAGAGACGGTCAGAGGCTTTAGTTTTGATGTCTCGGGGCAGGGGGGCCCTCTGTCAAGTCGGGGAGGACCCCCTGGCTCGCTCTTAAATTCCCATGTGACTGTCAAGAAGGGCTTCCATAGACCGTGGCTTCTCTGTTAGTGTTGATGCTGGCCAATGTTGAGTGATTATTTCATGTTCAAGTTCAGCATAAATTACATAAAGGAAGTCATGCTAATTCCATGAATGGTTAGGGAAACAGAGCCCAGTTCTTGTCACACCCATGCATAATGGACTTTCTCCCCCCGATTACCGTGATGCTCTGGAAAACAAGGAAAGAGGGAAAACGTTAGTCCATGGCCTCTCCTGGCTCCTGCTTCTGGTCGGCCTTTTGATTTTGTCTGTGCTTACGCAGTACACCCATCGGGAATGTACACACCCTTCATTTACGTTTCCTAACAGGTTTAGCTTTCAGGGAAGGTATTATTCCGGGGATTTGAGATTTTCTGCACGAAGCAGCCGAGGATTTTCCCATTTGTGCTAATTCAACCAGACCATGTCCAGTGACGTCTGGGGATGTGTTTAAGGCCCTCGTGGCTGGCGATCTGCTCATTAGCGCTCGGGGGCCTGAGCGCCCAGCATTGAGCCCCATCACTCGGACAGCAAGCTTCCTGTGTTCCTGGTGGCACTGGGCCCAGGGCTCTGAAAACAAAGGTTAACCTGGCATTTACCCAGCGAGATGTTCTCATCTGAGGGCCTTGAATCCGTAAGGGTTAAAGAATCATTTTAAAATCATCTGTCGATGTTTTTGTTTTTGCGTCTTTTGCCGGAGAGAAGATTGCAACTTCCAAAAGCAGTTGCTGATCCAGGTTTGGGCCCCCTGATCTGGAGGAGGCAGGACTCTTCACTCACGGGGAGGGAGGGAATGGAGCCCTGAGGGGAGGGGCTCCCCCTTGTGGTCCCCTGGCTCGTGCCCGAGGACCCCTGTCTGCTTTGCTCTGTGATACAACGTGTTGGGACAAGGATCGTGCCCCTGGTTTGGGGGAGGGGAAACCAGGAAGTCCTGTGTCCCATCAGGCCCCGTGGAGGAGTGGGCCTTGGACTGGTCCTTCTGTCCCGCTGGGGGTCCTCCTTCTCCCACGCAGCAGCGCGGGGCCCCTCTGACAAAGGTGCAGTGGGAGGACACAGGGGGGCCCCTCTTTGTGTGGATTCTGAGGTGCTGGCCTTCAGATTTTAAGAGAGGCTCTTTGGTGATGATCCACCCTGACGTGGCTCCTTTCCTTCCTCCGGGAAGGCCTGTGGCCTGGCTCTGAGTCCTCGTCTTTAGTAAGTATTTCCTCTTACACTTACAACCAGTGGGTCGGATGCGTTAAGAAACACCGCTTTCGGTTGGTCTGAGTGGGAACGATGGTAGACATGAGGTTTCCACTGAGCCGTTTCCGGCTCAGACGTCACTCAACGCCAGTCACGGACCCTCTCTGCCACCTCCACGTCTTGAACATCTGGGATTTCAGGTCCCTAGATGTCACTGCAGTGACTGCTCCTACTGCCCTTTCTGTCCAGCAACGGAGATCAACGCTCCCCCCTCCCCGCCAGTCAGCCAAGGGGCCTGGGTAAGAGGAGTCCCCAGGAGGCAGAGGACCTTGGCTTGACCCCCGAGCCCAACGGGGGGGCAGGGTGGGGGGGGTGAGAGAGCTGGGACAGTCACTCCCCCTCGCTGCTCATTTGTGAAAGGGGGTGATCTCCTCACAGGGCTTTTGTAAGGACTCAGGTTATTAAAATAACTCCTCAGCATCGCCTGCCAGTCAGGCTCATTGATGTTTTCCGTCTCTGAACTTGGCCTCAGCTGTTCCATCCCTCAGTGCCCTTCCTCTTTGCCCAGTTCTGCTTCAGAGGTGTCAACACCTCTCCTCTTTCAAGAAGTCTCCCGGGTCTTGTCACTGCATCTGCTCCCATCCCCCACCGGGCGTGGCTTCGCCCCTGAAGCGGTCCTCTGCCCACGGCGCGGCATTTATTTTGCTTGGTGGCGCATGACGGCTTAACGAGCCTTAACCGGGAGAGGCAGGAAGATTCATTGTCAGGGTCCTCCGCGCGCTCCTGATTGATGTGGGCGGATTTCCCTCCTTGAGGACTCATTAGTGGCGGCTTATTTACTGGAGGGGGCGCCGGCATCAGGCCCCCACCTGGGACCCCAGGGCCAGGCGTCTTTCCCGGGCTCAGGACTCTATGCTTCGCGACGGTCCCGAGAGACCCACACTCGGTGCTGGCATTTGCTGGCGCTGCCACGCCCTGTGGCTCTCGCATGTTATTGCAGGAGAACCAGCGTCCCGTCCTGTGTCACTCACAGCAATAAGCACAGTCTTCAGTGCTCGTTAGAGACGCAGACCTGCCCCTTGGATTTTAAGGAATTTACTCATGTCTTCCCTGCCTCTCATCCCTTAAGTTATAAAATTCTAAAGGGAAGAGTTTGGGTTTGGGGGCTGTTTTTTTCCCCCTTATCACCTCCCACGCTCTGAGGAGGCCCCGGGAATGAGTGGTGTCCGCTGGCTAGTCCCCGGGGCATGGGGGCGGCCTGCTGCCTGCCTGCACGCTGGTCTGCTCTGCTCGTGTCATTCGTGTTCATGGGCTCAACATCCCAGATACGTAGCCCAGCCGGGGTGGCTCAGTGGTTGAACGTTGACCTATGAACCAGGAGGTCACGGTTCCATTCCGTCAGGGCACATGCCCGGGTTGTGTGCTTGATCCCCAGTAGGGGGCGAGCAGGAGGCAGCCGATGAATGATTCTCTCTCATCCTTGATGTTTCTCTCTCCTTTCCCTTCCTCTCTGTAATCAATAAAAATATATTTTTTAAAATCCCAGATACATAGTTCAATTTCCCATCCAGCCTCTACAGCCTGAGTCGTTAGATGTTGTCAGAATGTACAACAGCACCCCCCCCCCCCCAGGCGTGCACAGATACCCACCCACATGCAAACGTGCACTGGGGCTGCCTGACATCTGAGGCAGGAAAGCTGGGACCGAGTGACACTCGGATGCTCAGACACACACACACACACACACACACACACACACACGATTGGGTCCCCAGGAGAGTCATGGGCAGAGCTCTGTGGGCGAGAGGGCGTGTGACAGCCACCACGTCCCCACACACAGCGCCTAGGACAGCCTCGGGGTTTTCATGCAGCCTCTCTCTTGATCCTCGCAGAAGCCCGAAGCAGCAGGTACTGTTATTCCGCCTCGTGAATCAGGAAACCGGCACAAAGAGGCTTAGCAGCTTGAGTCTGGTTCCAGGATCTGCACTTCTCGCCCTGCTCCGTTCTTCCCCCTACTCAGTTCTCGCTCCTGCTCCGTCCTCACCCCTGCTCTGTTCTCACCCCTGCTCCGTTCTTCCCCCTACTCAGTTCTCGCCCCTACTCTGTCCTCACCCCTGCTCCGTTCTCACCCCTGCTCCGTCCTCACCCCTGCTCTGTTCTCACCCCTGCTCCGTTCTTCCCCCTACTCAGTTCTCGCCCCTACTCTGTCCTCACCCCTGCTCCGTTCTCACCCCTGCTCCGTCCTCACCCCTGCTCCGTTTTCACCCCTGCTCCGTTCTTCCCCCTACTCAGTTCTCGCCCCTACTCTGTCCTCACCCCTGCTCCGTTCTCACCCCTGCTCCGTCCTCACCCCTTCTCTGTTCTCACCCCTGCTCCGTTCTTCCCCCTTCTCAGTTCTCGCCCCTACTCTGTCCTCACCCCTGCTCCGTTCTCACCCCTGCTCCGTCCTCACCCCTGCTCCGTTTTCACCCCTGCTCCGTTCTTCCCCCTACTCAGTTCTCGCTCCTGCTCCGTTCTCACCCCTGCTCTGTTCTCACCCCTGCTCCGTTCTTCCCCCTACTCAGTTCTCGCCCCTACTCTGTCCTCACCCCTGCTCCGTTCTCACCCCTGCTCTGTTCTCACCCCTGCTCCGTTCTTCCCCCTACTCAGTTCTTGCTCCTGCTCCGTTCTCACCCCTGCTCCGTTCTCACCCCTGCTCCGTCCTCACCCCTGCTCCGTTTTCACCCCTGCTCCATTCTTCCCCCTACTCAGTTCTCGCTCCTGCTCCGTTCTTACCCCTGCTCCGTTCTCGCCCCTGCTCCGTCCTCACCCCTGCTCAGCGTTGCTTCCCTAAAGTGGGCATGGCCAGCGTACCCTGTTTTCATCTTCTTTCCCCTTTTTAGTGCCTTTCCATTCGGCGCCGAATGCCCGCACAGTGAGTGTTTGCAGGATGGATGAGTGGATGAGTGAGTGCGTGAGGAGAGAAGGGATGAGGACATGAAGGAACACGCAGGAGCACACACGGTCCATCAGCAAGTTAGGAAGCAGCCCCTGTCCCCATCTGAACGCCTCCTCCTGCCGCCGCTTGCCCACGTCCGAAGTACTTCCTCCTGTTCACAGTCCTCCCTCTTCCTGTCTCTCTCTCTGCAGACAAGAGCGAGAATGGCGAGGCGTACCAGAGGAAGAGGGCGGCGGCCCCCGACCAGCCCGAGGGCCCCACCGTCCCTGCGTCTGCTCCGGGGACCTCGGCCCCGCCCAGCGGCAGCAGCTGGAGGAGGATCACGCTGCTCATCTTGGCCATCACCATCCACAACATCCCAGGTGAGGACCGGCCCGCCCGCAGGGCAGGCACTGCCGATGCCGGCTCAGCTGCCTGGCTGGGAAGAAGGCCAGGCGGTCGGGGTGCAGATCCTCTTTTGAGGGGCGTGCAGATGTTTCTTGACTATATTTGTGGGGCTACTTCTTCTCGACGGGTCCCTGTATGAGAAAACTCCCCGTTCCAGTCGCTCCGAACCATGTCACTCCTTTTCCACCCGTGAGTCCTTCTCTTTATGTGTTTGCTCCGAGTCCTCTGGAGCCCGACCGCCTAACTGTCCCGATTCCCACGAATGAGCCTTTCCTAACCACGAGACGTCTCCTCCACTTCATGGTCTTAAAATACCGAAGTCAGTGCCGTCTGCTTTGCCGATTGTCTTACCTGTGACACCTTTCTGAAATGTCCTTGCCAATCCTTCCTTTTTTAGCATTTCGGAGGAATTGGTTTTGTGTCTTTGGATTTATTTTAATTGAAAAAAAAACCCACAATGTATTGGTGTTGTGTTTCCAAAAACAACACGTTTTATTTAGCATCACTGGAAGCACAGACACAGAAAGGGAGCTGCTCTCCTCGGGCCGGGACCGCCGACGGCTCAGAGCCCTTGCGTCTGTCATCTGCCGCCTGAAAGCACTTTCCGAGACAGTGTGTTCAGTCCGCGACACTGACACCAAGGCACGTCCTTTCCTTGGGGTATTGTTTTCCAAAGGACGCGCGCACCCGGCCCCTGCACGAGAGGGGCGCGGGGTGGGGAGGAGCGGGGCACCGTCACACTGGGAGCTGGGCACCCCTCCGTGTGCAGGAGGGCTCTCAGCCGCGGCCTCCAGCAGTCACGACCATTTCTTCCTGAAGCAGGTGAACTGCCTGCACCCTCACACCTATTTCTGTAAAGGGGGTTTCTTTCCTGCTCTAGAGCTGTGGACAGATAGCCCCCAGGGGGTCGGTGAACACCCCAAAACCGCCCGCCAATGACTGTGGCTCCCTTTCTGTATCTGAGGGGGATTGAACATCAAGTAGCAATCGAGTTCCTTCTCATCTCTTTTCACGAGGAGCTGATGGGCCCCACAGGGCACTGCCATTGCTTTGTACGTGAGGAAGTTACATGTAGAGCTTAAAGGGATGCGGGAGGGAATCTCATCCAAACACGGCCCCCTTGGAGAATGGGGGAGGGCGTGTTCAGTGATCCCTGTGGCGCCTTCAGCCCGGCATTGGGTGATGCGTGAACAGTCATGCAGTCAGTACATTATTCATCTGGTCTATTTAATGACGTTAATCACTGCGTCCTCGGCGACACCTCCAGGGTCCTCACCCCACCCCCAGGCGGGCCAGGACAGTCCCATCTGCAGTCTCCTTTGACACGGACCGCAGTCCTCACGGGTTCTGGGTTGGTGGTGGCGTGAGCCTGGCCGTCCTCTTTCCCTGGCCTGGTCCCTGTGTGCCGCCGGGCAGCTTAGCAGGGGCAGCTCTCAGACTCCGCAGGGAGGAGCCAGTGGCCCGAGAGAACTGATTGACTCATTTTCCCAGGACGAGGACCGGGTAGGAAGTTTTATTACACACGGGCCTTTCCTGGGAAAACCGTCTACTTCCCAGGGCTTTGCTCCCAGAAACTGGAGGCGTCCTCTCCGCAGCCAGAGACCTACTCACAGGCCGGCGTCCTCGTGGTCAGAAGCACGGTGACGATGCTGGAGGCCGCCACTGCCTGGGCCTGTCGACGCTCCGGCCGTGAAGGGCTCCACATTATGATATAGATGTTGTGTCCTTGTTCGATGTTTTAGACACTCGACCCCGAGAGGCAAATTAGACGAGCTCCAGGTCACACAGGCGGGCAGAGCTGGTTCGAGCTCCATCCCTATGTTGCCCCCACTTGGCGAGCTCACTTCCTGTCTGCCGGTGGATCGCAGGGGTTTTCAGAGCCGGTTATGGAAGAATTCAGGAAGTGCTTCTCTCTGTTCGCAGCTTGCCACATTAAAGGGTCGTGTCGGCAGTGATCACCGGTGGCAATGGGCTCAGCTCAGCAAGGAGAGTTAGGATGGTGGAGGGGGCGGGGGAAGGGGACCCAGGTATCAGGACAGAAGCCTCATTCACGCACAGGACCTGCCACTGTGGGCGCCCTGCGGATCTGTGTAGAAATGAGCCCCCGCAGCCCCTCACCCACCGCCAAGTGAGGACGGCCCAGGACCAGAGATCGTCAACCCTTTAACCGCCTTAGGGAGCGTGACATGGAGGGAGAGATGGACACACCCAGGATTTCAAGTCAGAAAGGCCGGGGCTTGGGTCCTGGAGCCACACAATGCTCTGCTGGCCGGTGGCCTTAGGTGAACCTGGGGGAGCCTCAGTTTCCCCAGCAGGACAGTGGGGCAGCGTCTGTCTGCAGCGCAGCGTTCAGTGAGGTGACAGCGATGGCGGCTCTGTCCGCGTCATCTGCTGGGAAGTGTGTGCCCGGTGCCCGGAGCACAGTGGGGCCTGGGAAATGTCCACTCCCCCCCCCCCCCCCGCCCGCGCTCCTCCCCCCCTCGGTCTTCGCTTCGCTCTGACCCTCCCAGACCGCCCGGGTCTGGTCTCAGGATCTCAGATGGGCAGGTCTCCCATCACCTGAGTTTTCACTCCGGCAGGTGGTTCCTTTGGAAGGCGCTTCTCACCTCCTCCAGGGTTGGGAAACACTGCAATGTTCTCCTCTAATTATCTGCGTCTCGGTGGGAAGCCTGACATTGTAATGATCGCAGGCTCCCGTCTGGGTGACATTCGCTCGGCGTGGCGTGTCCCCTGTGTGCGCCACGGCACAGGCTGGTGGGTGGGAGCGTGAGAATCGCCCGGTGCCTTGAGAGTGGAGACACAGGAAAGGTGACGGGCAGCTTTGAGATGATGTCACCTCCCGCCACAGGCCGGACACACGGACGCCGTGCCCTGCGGGCCTTCCGATTGAGGAAGCGACGTTCTATGGCTGCCCCAGGATGGGGGCTCCCATCGGACTCAGCCCACGTCTGCCAGCATCTGTCATCCTCGACCTACTACGTACATTAAAGCAGGGGAGTTTGAACACACTTCTGTCTTAGGACTCAAAGTGTCCAGCAGCTTCCAGGTGTCTTTCTAGCGACGGTTAGGCAGATACTGGCTTGCAAAGGGGATGGCTCAGCAGGCTCATCGTCGTGTCTGATGTTGGGGTGCAGGGCAGGTCGGGGGGAGCTGCTCCAAGGACGGCTCCTCATCCACTCCTCTGGGTGCTGTGTCATCTGCAGAGAGATGCACCCCCTCCCCCCCACATGCCAGGCCATGTAGCTGGATGGTGTCCGTGCGGGGCCCCTCAGAACAGCTCCTCCCCACTCAGCTCCGGCTTTGCAGACAGGACATCTGCTGTCCTGGGGACCTCACTGTCCTGGGGACCTCACTGTGAAGCCTATGCCCCAGGGACACTGCTCAGTTCACCCGCCCCCGCCGCCCCCCCCCCCCACCGGCTCCCGAGAGCAGTGCCCCCCGCCCCCGGCACTCCTCTGCCTCTAAGTCAAGTTCAGAGCCATCCCTTCTAGAGATCTTGCGCGTTTGTCCCCCTTCCGTGTGTCCTCAGGAGCCCTTCCTGGCTCGGAGATGTCGGGAGAGAGGCGGGGTCACGCCGATGGGGAACTAATCTCCGAATCCCGTTTTCCTGTGCAGACTCTTCTTAAATGTCAGCAGAGCGACACGGGCATTTCTCTCACGCTCTTTTAATCACACGCCTTCTCCAGCAGAGCCATTTGCTTATGAAACCAGTGTCCCCGTGGCATCTTAGTGCTCCCTGCTGTGGCCTGGTGTCCGGGGTCAGCTTCCCTCTCAGGCTGGAGCTGGGTGGGGCCTTTCGGTGAGGGGCGGGTCCTATGGGAGACACGGGCTGATAAACTGAGTCACCGACCCCTCTGGAGGACAGAGGCATCAGCCCAGGGGAGGAGACTGGGCAGGCGGGAGTCCAGGCACAAGGAAGACGGGGTGTGTGGGGGGGTGGGGGAGGACAGTGGGGCCGTGAGATTGCCTGGTCCCTGGGCCCTGCCTTGCGCGGGGCCAGGGGCTCTACTCTGACCTGTGTGGTCCTCGAGGACTCCCAGAAGCCTGGGTTTCACCTCCACATAATTCTGAAGAGCGCCCTGTTGCTTAGAGACAGGAGATGGGCCTGGAATGAAGATAAGGTTGCCAAGGAAACCAAGCCACAAATTCCCTTGTTTTTCTTGGGGTTGCTGGACGGAAGAGCAAAGAAGTTTTGCTCTGACAGCAAGAAGGAATGTCTCTTCTGTGTGTGTTTTAAACAAACTGACATGTTGTCCAAGACACAGTGAGCCAGTCCCCGAGTTGACAAAAACAGGGAGTTGAGTTTTGTGTTGTGTGTGTGTGTGTGTGTGTGTGTGTGTGTTTAAATATCAGGCAGCACTTTCTGATGCAGACGGAATTAAGCAGCCTTTTCATCCTGATTCATTTTCAGAGGCAAGGACCCAGGATGCAGCCCCTTCCTAGTGGTAACTTAGCTTGTAAATTCCGAGTTTTCGTGTGTGGCCCCAATCTCTCTCCTTTTTTGCGGGGGGGAAGCTGGGCAGGAAGGCGGACTGGTTACACAGTACAGGATGCCTAGGGTTTCGGTGAATGGAAAAGGGGAGATAGGAGGGACCTGCGTCTTTCCGGAACCCATCACCTGAGTTATTCTTGGCTAAACTATCCCTCGAGTGGGCAGCACTGTTTTATTTACCTCCACTGTGGTGCCGGGGCCGTGTCCCTTCACACTTTCCCCTGGCCCCCTCCTCCCATCTGACACCTGCTCTGTCATTCTCACACTCTGGCCCCAACAGGGATGCTCAGGACCCCCCCCCCCCCCCATTTGTCTAGAGGCTCCCACACGCCACTCCCTTCCTCCCTTCCCCTCTGCCTTCCAGTTTCGGGCCCACCTGGAACCTGGCCGGTTTCTACTCCCCGTCTGTGGAGTGCGCACGTGTGTGCCAACCCGCCCCTAACCCTCTTCAGGGAAGCGGACCCTGGCCGGGTGACGTCACCC